CAAGTGTGTTTTGATGAGAATTATTTCTTTGAATATCTTTAACAGCAATTTCCATATTATTCTTTCACCTCTTTCCAACAACACTTAGCAGGTTTAGTAAACACTGTCACACAAACAGGAAAAATGTATGGAGAAATGGAGTCTCGTCATTTCGGTACCTGAGGGGGTCAGGGATAATCTCAGAGATGCACCAGGGAGGAATTAAAATAAACTTTGAGATAAATTTGGGATGATTAATGATAACTTTGAGATAAACTTTGGAGGACTTGTGATAATTTTGAGATAACCTTGGGAAAAATTGAGCATATTACCACCTTTTCTTGTGTGTAAAACACTGGTTTGGTTGTTCATTTCGAGGGGGAAATGTTTCTTTTTATTCAAGTGAGCCCAATAGAACAGTCAAATTGTTATTGTAAATGTTGAGATAAAAGGTACAGGACAATTATTTCCTTCTTCATCGGCATCTTTCTCTTATTAGATGGTTAGAAAATATGATAGACTTGTCTAAGAAGCCTGACACAATATATCAGTAATTCACATGCTTTTCTGCTGATTCAACTGCGACATTAAGATAGGATACACGTTTATAGAGAAATGCATCATTAACACCAACTCACATGTTCGGTGTATCAAGATGTACTCAAGTTCAAGATATTTTTTGTGTAGATATATATATAGAAGTCAGTCTGGCTTGCCGATGCAATACAGTGAGATACATGTAGTCCCAGATAACATGGCTGATCTGTTCCTGGTTGTCTGTGCAAATGTCTTTGTATTTGCTTCACTGTATCATCTGAAACCTTTCATCATCACTGACCACAGATATACACATGGAAATAAGTTAAGCACCACTCTCCATATATTTTGATGTGAGTATAGGCCAGCTTAGAGGCTGATATTCGACCACAAGTCGGCAGCAAATCTCAAAAAACATTCTCGTGGAATTAGGATTTTCCCAATTAATGTTGATCATGTTCATACAGTTGAAAGTGATATTATGGCTTTGTAGAAGTAACTGGGGGCACAGGTGGCCCAGGTGGCCCAGTCATCTAAGGTGCAGCAATTCGCTGTGCAGAGTTGCGTCCCTTGGGCACGCCAGAAACCTGTGATTGTGGGTTCGAATCCCGGTTCGCCCCGATTATTTTTCTAGGTTTGTCAGCACCATACCCATGCTCGTGGGTTTCACCGAAGTGGTAAACGTCTGAAACCTGCATCACTTCGTGCTTACCTCCCACATTAAGCTGACACGCCGCGATATAGCTGGAATACTGTTAAAAGCGGCGTTAAACCCAACTCACTCACTTACTGTAGAGGTGACTTGTATTTCACTGATAACAGGACCAATAGAGCGAAAGAGTCATTGTTGCCCTGGATACAATGTTGTAATGCCTCTTAATTTTCGAAAAACAACTTTGAGATATTCACAATGTTGCACAATATTGACGTTGTTCCCGATTTGCCTTTCAAGGACACTTAGTTTGGAATTCAGTTAAATCCCTGGAGTACCGGTAATCGGTTTTGTGTATCATTGAGTTATCAGTGATAATCGGAATTTAAACAGAGTTGAATATTTGAAATAGAGTGAAGTCTTTGGGACCATTGACAGTATGTTGTAGTTTGAGATGAGTACACATTTCAGGCCATAGAGCTGATAAAACTGAGTGGATTAACAAGGTTCACTGACCTGCTTGGATTAGTGAGTTGTTGGTCTGGCCAGGTTATCACAGTGCTAATTTACCTGTATGTATACTGCGCAAAAGAAGTAAAGAACATGATTCTTTCATATCACTGTAGTCTGTTATGCCATGAGTTTTACTATAGGAATATGAAAGAATCCTGTCTTCTTTCACTTCTTTTGAGTAGTATGCTTGAAAGTTTTGTTACATGTCTTGTTCTATTTCTGTTTGTTTCACCTGTTCCTGTTTTGTTTTGTTGATGACAGTAAACATGAAAGTAACATGTTCGTGTTTGTGTATGATGCATTTTGTTGAAGTCGACTGGCCCTTCTGTCGGGAGCCTCAAGGGACGATATATGATATACTAGGATATATGTATAGTATATCCTGCATAGGGCTTGGTTATATGCAATAAAACCACCTTTATATTATGTTGTCATTTGTTTCCTTTCATTTTGTTTGTTTGTTTGTTTTATGCCACACTCAGCAATATTCTAGCTTTATGACGGCGGTCTGTAAATAATTGAGTCTGGTCCAGACAATCCAGTGATTGATATGAGCATCAATCTACGCAGTTGGGATGCAATGACATGATTCCTGTCTACATCATCATCTTACTGCCAGTGTGGGGTAGCCTAGTGGTTAGGCGTTGGCTCATTACGCTGAAGGCCCAGGTTCGATTCCGCACATGGGTACATTGTGTGAAGCCCATTTCTGGTGTTCTCCGCCGTGATATTTGCTTGAATATTGCTAAAAGCTGTGTAAAACCATACTCACTCACTCACTCCAGGTGGGATCAGTTGTCATGTGATGGAAGTTAATTGTGTCGACTCCGAGAGGACATTATGATGATTACCTGGAGTTTCAGGTGGTTGATAGTGTTACACCAACTATCATGGGGCTTGTGTGTTTGTTCTTTAAAGCCGAACACATCAATTTTCACGACTTCACCTGTAAATAAACAACTGGACCAGACAATCCAGCGATTGATTTGAGGAACAATCCACAGTTTGGTTATGAAGACACACAATCAACCAAATTCTTCACTTGTTCCTATATTTGTGAACTGACATCAGTTCAGATTCTTGTAATGTCTTCCTTCCCCATGTTAACTTCAGAAACACACAAGTCTCAATATGTTCAAGTATGTTTAATATGCTGATTCCAGAAATGTACACGATACATGGTCAGTGAGGATGACGAGGACAATGACCAGGACAATGACATATGACCTATATAAATACAGATGTAGCGCCACAATGAACATGGAATGAGACTGTACACATACATGGGCAAGTGGAGCGGACAATGATGGATGAACGTGAGTGAGTGAGTTGGGTTTAACGCCGCTTTTAACAGTATTCCAGTTGTATCGCGGCGTGTCAGCTTAATGTGGGAGGAAAGCCCGAAGTGATGCAGGTCTTAGACGTTTACCACTTCGGTGAAACCCCCGAGCATGGGTATGGTGCTGACAAACCTAGAAACATAATTTGGGAGAACTGGGATTTGAACCCACAATCATAGGTTTCTGGCGTGTCCAAGGGACGCAACTCTGCACAGCGAATCGCAGCACTTTAGACGACTGGGCCACCCGTGCCCCCGAATGAACATGAAGGGTAAATGCTGTTCCAGCTCCATGTTGGCAAAACGTACAGGCAAGGCTATGTTAATGTAAAGAAGTTCCACAGGCTCCTTACAGTTTGTCCTTGCAATGCCACTGTCACAAGTGCACAAGCTATGACTGTTGTAGCAACATGAATGCCTCGTGAAATGAGACCCAGATGTAATACCGACCAGTTGCAGCCTGAGAGGGGATCAGGATCCCCTGTTGTGAGAGGAAAGCCGAAGTGATGCAGGTCGTAGATATTTACCACTTTGGTGATCCCCATGGGAAAGTAGCTGACAAAGACCATAATCAGAGTGAAATGATACTTCTATCTCCCTAGCAGCATATCCTGGCACAACTAAGGGATGCAACTCTGCACAGCAAATTGCAGTGCCAAAGACCACTGGGCTCTCTTCTGCCCCAGACTCCTAACAGGGCGAGGAAGGCAGCTTCTTGGAGCATGGATGTTTGAATGGTGTGGATAAAAAAAACACCTCTCATCAGCCTTAAACATGAGATTACCGGTAGCCTGTGAATACCCTCTCATTCCACTGACAACCTCACAATTAGTCCTGAGTTTCAGAATGGTTCCTTTCTGTGACACTGACCAATGGTCATCCAAAATGTCCAAAGATGGGTTTTTTTCAATTTTGGTAATACATGTATGAAACAATCCCCTATCAAATGCTGAATGAAATTGACCCAACACCAAATTGACCCAATTTGTCTCAAGATAAATCGCTGTAGTCTTTGCCAAAACCTTTCGAGACAATGGGACAAAAATCAGTACAGTAAATCAAAACATCAGTTTATGGACTAGTATTCAGTGATCTTACTCGACCAAAAGAAATGATAGCAGACTTGGACTTTGGAATAGTGGCTAAAGTCACAGACAGACACTCTTCTTGTTTGTTTGTTTCATTGTTTGTTGTTTAGCGCCGCACTCAGCAATATTCCAGCTATATGACGGCGGTCTGTAAATAATCCAGTCTGGACCAGACAATCCAGTGATTGATATCATGAGCATCGATCTAAGCACATTGGGATACGATGACATGCATCAACCAAGTCAGCAAGCCTGACTCCCCGATCCCGTTAGTTGCCTCTTACGAGAAGCATGGTCACCTTTCACAGCAAGCATGGGTTGCTGAAGACCTATTCTACCCCGGATCTTCACGGGAAGACACTATTGTTATCCACACCACATATATTATGGTGTGTGCTGGACTGTCTGTGTAAATGTTTCCGCTTCAGGGAACTCATCTCTATCAGTGTATCAATAAGAAGTTCATTTTATTGTGAAAGTAACACTGCGACATTGCTGTGTAAACTTATCTCACTCTGATCAGATCACTACATAAACATCCCCAGAACACAAATGTATATATGTTTTCCACTTGCTCGGAAGATGAGCCTGTGTTTTGAGACTTGAGAAACAGAGGCAGATATCCAATAATTGTCAATACAAGAGCTTTGTCAAGTTATCATTGTTGTTTGTGTGTTGTTTAACACCACTCTCAGCAATATTTCAGCTACATGATGGCAGTCTGCATATAAGTCTGGACCAGACAATCCAGTGACTGATATCATGATTTTGTTTGTTGGTTTGTTGTTTAACGCCGCACTCAGCAATATTCCAGCTATATGAGTGAGTGAGTGAGTGAGTGAGTGAGGTTTTACGCCGCTTTTAGCAATATTCCAGCTATATGACGGCAGTCTGTAAATAACAGTCTCAACCAGACAATCCAGTGATTGGCATCATGAGCATCAATCCACAAAATTGGGATACGATGACATGCATCAACAAAGTCAGTGAGACTGACATCATGAGCATCAATCTACTCAATTGTCAGCGAGCTGATCCCACTCCAGTTACTTGCCTCCATGATAATCATTTAGGCATTAAGCTTATAATTCATCAGAAACATTTTCTGTACATTGAAGAAACACACGCAATGACAAAATGCCTCCTGTAACCTCCTGTAAGTGATGCTATTTCTTTATTGTCCACGTGCACACACAGTCTCCCTAAGATGATGTCTCAATGCCTGCTGGAGATACCGAGTTGACTGCGGAGCCTTGTTGCAGAAACTCATGTAAATCTGTGTCGATGGTATTGTTATCATTGCCCTCATTGGCTGCCTGTGGCTGAGCAGCTTCACTGTCCACAACTTCCATTGGCTGGCTGCTACTTCCCTGGTTCGGAGTTGGAATGGAGACAACTGGTTGCATGGTAATTCCCAGAGCTGAGCGCATGGCCTTCACACTGACGATGTCCTTCGGGGCAGCCTCACGGGCTAAGGCCTTCAGTTCCTTCGATACTTTCTCGGCTGAAAAAGCAAAGGAATATGAGTGAGGTGAGATGAGGTTTAACGTCGCGTCCAAGATTATTGCACTTATATAATGACATGCATGCACGTGTGTGTGTGTGTGTTTGTGGGTGGGTGTGTCTGCTTGTACTAGTCCAGACTGATGTTGATTTATAGCGCTAGCCCACTGAGATACCATGCCGCAGTTTAACATGAATACCCTACAGTATACTGACTCCGAGCCGACCAGTCCTTGTTTTAGTCCCTTAATGCTGAGCGCCAGGCAGCGTAACAATAAGTTTCATTTTTTGTGTCTTTTGGTATGATCAGGGATGTGAGCAGGTTTTCCCGAAAAAAGAGGAAAAGTCTAGGGGGGTCTGGGGGCATGTCCCCCCAGAAATGTTTTAAACATTTGATTGCATTTTAAACAATTTCGTGCAGTTTGGACAACATTCACACCAAGAAATGTAATAAGTCAATGGCAAAAGTCAAATAAACAAGATGGCAGATGCAGTAAAATTTTAATGTTAAATCAGTACTTTTAAAAAATCGGGCATAGCTTTCGCGCACCTGGCTACCCCCCAGGTCTGGGAGCAATACTGCCATAAACTTCAACCCCCATCCCCCAGACACAAGGGCAACTGTCACAAGTGTGCAATGTCTGACCCTTTCCCCATGTTGAAGCATATTGAAAAAAACTTACCTTGTACTTACCTTTTGATGAAAAAAACAAAACTCATTGCAAACATAAGACATTAATAAAACATATATCCCCATGTTATGGGGTTTTGGACGCTGAAGAAACATTCATAGTTTTCTCGCTAATCACATGAACAACTGTAAAACATCTCATTCACTTACAGGCTAAAATACAACTTTATCTTAAAAACAAGCCATCAGCTGACTCTGAGTATTTACAATTTCTGTGTGACGCCACACCCCACGTTATAGTGCAAATATTCGTGATAGAAATCGTATGATGTCCGAAAACCTATGCTGGTGAAAGCTCTGATCGAAAACAGGACAATCAGCGACGGTTGTCCGGTTTTCGATCATATTTTTCCGAGTGTTTTTTTTTAAATTTTTGATTAAATTTTTACGCGGAACATGATTTTTCCCGAGGACTACTGTTTTAAAAAACGCGATTTTCCGCGTTTCCGCGGAGATTTCACATCCCTGTATGATGCAGTTGGGGATCGAACCCCTGACCTTCCGCTCTCCGGGTGGACGCTCTACCACTAGACCATGGAGGCGGTCAATAAATACGAGTGAGCATTGTATATATACACATGTATATCATAAAATACTCGCAATAAAGCATTTTAAAAATATCGCAATAAAGCATTTAAAAAATATCTTCAAATTTTGAGGATTGTCTGCCCTGATTAAATGAATGGTGTGAGCCCCCAGCACTGGTGATGGTATCACACTATCCACCAGACACAAAGCCTGACTACCCTATCAATTAAGATGCCTTTAACGACCAGCAGTTCCTGGGTACCAATTCTAACTCCGATTCCCCTAGGGGTACAAGTTGTGGAAACATCCACGTCTAGCATTGCTCCGTGCTCACCCAGCTCAGCCTCTCTGTCAGACGGCCCGAGAATAAGTCCCAGATGTGCTGGCGGCTTCTGACTCAGCCTCTCCTTCTGCGTCTGTTGGAGGTCTGTGATGAGGCCGGCCGTCTGGTCCAAGCGCGCCTGCAGCTTCTCATTGCCAATCTCCTTCTCTGGAAGAAATATGGGAAGTGTGAATATTCAGCAACAATCAGTTCCTGTACCTTACACCATACTCACTGTGACGGTTTTCACAGTTCAGTCTTTTAGAAAACCTATGTGACCCGATAGATATCTCATGATTACTACAGTCTGTGCCAAAAACATTTAATTCTACTAGCTCTAACTTGGCAGTAAGCATCATTTTAGTACATTAGTGTAACCATATGGTATTTTATTAGCTGAACTTTCTCATGTTACTAGACCAAACAAATTCTGACTAGACTCTGGCATCGAACAAGTGGCTAAAGTCACGACTATTACTTGGGGAAAAAGGTTGTAAATGTTCTTATTATCCTAAGAAATCTGCCAGGTATTCGTCACTCTCAGTGGCTGAATGTTGTTTTACGCCAGTCAGCAATATTCCAGCTACATTGTGGTTGGCTGTCAATAATGAACCAGGCAAACAAGTGGTTGGCAGCATGAGCACGGATCCATCCAAACATGACACACAGTCATCCAGGTCACACATTATGCCCTCACTGGGGACCCAACTCTGTCCCTGTGTCAGTGCATGGGTGTGTAATAATGCTTCTTCATCAGACTTAATGTTGGATGATGTTATGCCCTTTTTCTACTACAACATATCAACATATCGGTTTAACAAGAAAAACAAAGCAGAAAATATCTACCACTGAAGCAGATACTGCCATCTTAGATATTTCCTAACAGGGTCACCAGATCAGTTCATTTTCTTGGAAATCCAACATGTCCTAAAGATTTGTTTTCAAATTTGTTGATATAGATGAATGTCCAATCAATCAGTGATAAAATCATGGCATGTATCTCCTACAGAATTATTGCCTAACAAAGGATCAAATGTCAACATGGGACCCCATCACATGGCTTTACTAATTATCTCCAGGTGAGAAATAAACCCAGGACATGTCCATGTTAAGCAGCACTGTGTCTACTGAGCTACCCCAAGGTCATACAGCTCACTCACCAAAGTAGTCCACAAAAGAGACATCAAGTCCAAGGTCACCCAGGCTCCTAAGGGAGTTGAAATCGATGTTCTTTTTAACTTTAGCCTGGAAGGAAAACAAGAAGCCATTCAGACGTTGGTTGTTGAACACTCTCATAGTTACCATAGCTAAATTCTTTTCGCAAAATGTCAACAGTTATGGTTTAAGTTATGACTAAACACACCAATATGGTTGACAAAACTTCTAAACATCACAACACAAGCCTTGTCAAGTTTAATAAAGGACACAAATTGAATCTTCATTTCTAATATTTACATTTTATAAAGTAAAATGTATTCACTTTGATTAAGAAAGTTGGTTGTTGGTTAGTTGTTTAACGCCGCACTCAGCAATATTCCAGCTATATGACGGCGGTCTGTAAATAATCGAGTCTGGACCAGACAATCTAGTGATTAATATCATGAGCATCGATCTAAGCGATTGGGATCAATGACATGCATCAAACGATTCAGCGAGCCTGACCACCTGATCCCGTTAGTCGCCTCTTAAATCAAGCATAGTCGCCTTTTTACGGCAAGAATGGGTTGCTGAAGACCTATTCTACCCAGGATCTTCACGGGTCTGTTTGTTCTCATTAGACACGATATGATATAATTGAAATACTGTTCAAAGCGGGGTAAAACCCAACTCACTCACTCACTCTTCAGATGGTGGCAGTGCCTGTATTTGACAAAGTATAAACCACAACTTGTGACAGTTGTTTATTGTTCACACCATTTCTGGCCAATTCCATGTACGTGTATGGCTGGCAGTCCCGTCTCTTAAAACGTGTTGACTTACCTCTTTCTCCTTCTGCTTCTCTTCCTCAGCCTTCTTGTCAGCTTCCACTTTCTTCTTCTGGAGAAAACAATAACTGAGTTAGTAATATACCACCCACCGGAATGAATACATCACCATTTCACATCATTTAAAAAACAAAATTTAAAATTCTGACACACGTAGAACAAAACAATACAAAAGTCTTTGACTGACTTGATTGAGGAGTTGGCAGAGCATGAAGACATGAAACCCTTTTAGGTGAGGTGAAATGGGGCTTAACGTTGCTTCCAAGATTATTGCTCTTATATAGTGACGTGCATGCACATGTGCGTGTGTGTGTGTGTGGCTGCTTGTACTAGTCCGGTTTGATGCTGATTTATAGTGCTAGCACACTGATATACCATGTTGCAGTTTAACATGAATACCCTACTCAGACACACTACACTGACTCCGAGCCGACCAGTCCCCGACTCCCTTAATGCCGAGCGCCAGACAGGGTAACAACAAGTACCATCTTTTAACATCTTTTGGTATGAAGCGGCTGGGGATCGAACCCCGGACCTTCCGCTCTCCGGGCGAAGGCTCCCTTTTCGGATAACAACCTCTTTATCTTTTGTAATAATTTCAGGACTACTTCTTGCCCCCTTCATCAGGAGCAGAAGTAGGGATGGAGAGCTACAAGCAGTCATGAGTGATACACAAGAATGAAGTTCTCCATAAAAAAAGTTTCATGTCACAATTTCATGCACATCATACTCATATTACGAATTGTAAATCCTAATTGTGTAATAAATTATATTTCCAAAAATATTAAAATACTTGACTAAATTACATAAAAAATAGCTCGTAGATGCATCATCCCCAGAGTGTCTCTGACTATGCTTTGTTTGTTTGTTTGTTTGTTTGTTTGTTGTTTAACGCCAAAGTCAGCAATATTCCAGCTATATGACGATGATCTGTAAATAATCAAGTCTGGACCTGACAATCCAGTGATTGAGCATCGACAATGCAATTGGAACAGGATTACATGCATCAACCAAGTCATCGAGCCTGACCACCCGATCCTGTTAGTCGCTGTAGTAGAGAGAGCCCACCTGCTCCAGGATCCTCCTCGTCTTGCTGTGTTCCCCCTTGGTGAGGACGTCTAGGAGGACATCCACCATCTTCACACCGTAGTCCTCCGCACTCTCCACAAAACTCATCACACTGAAAACAACAGGATTGTGAATGAAGTCAGCTAAGGCAGTCTACAACCTTATTCATTAAGTGTGTGTGGCTGCTTGTACTTGTCCAGACTAATGCCGATTTTATAGTGCTAGCCCACTGAGATACCATGCTGCAGATTAACATGGATACCCCACTCGGACACAGTATACAGATGCCGAGCTGACCAGTCCTTGTTTTATCCAATTATTGCTGAGTGAGTGAGTTGGGTTTAACACCACTTTGAACTGTATTTCAGCCCCCTAACAGGGATAGATTTAACAACAAATTTGTATGGAGCCAGCAGAGTTTGTTCCTGTTAAAAGTTACTGGCCCTTCTCCAAACTAACAGGCCTACAACTAAATGGTGGATGCCTAGAAGTGGCCAAACCTGAGATTGCATAGCCACCTAGCTTGGCATTGAAAATGTTAGAACTCTTTACCCCTAAAACGTTTTTTCCCCGAACTCTGAGATAAATCTTCTTCCATTTGCCTCATTTCGTGGTGATTTATGACCAAATAAATAAGTTGTACACAAGATTACAAAATGGCGGCCGGTCGTCATTTCACAGAGATGATCCAATCAAACAAATTAAACACACGGAGAAGGAGTGAAGTTTTGAGAACCAGATGGGCCATCTACTTTACGTGCCAGCAAGCCCTTCATAATTTTAACTGGCCGAGGGCCAATGAACCAGTACGTAAATCGACCCCTGCCCAACAGGCCAAGGATCACTAGTAAGGAGAATCATGTATCTTGACCTACCATCAGCGTATCCTGGCACAGATAAGGAACACAACTCTGACAACACAATAACTGATGCAGTTGTCTAATTACCTCTTGGCATACTGCGCGCCAGTATCATCTCCGTACGTAGACAGCAGCAGGTCGGACTCCTCCTTCGACACGCTGGAGAACGCTGAGTCGTACTGAGGGGCATAGCTACTGAAGGGTCCGTAGTTGAGGTAGGTAACTGAAGAGCAAGGTGGACATGATTTCCCCAAAGATTCCAAACTATCTAACAGTTACAACAAAAACATGAGCAGAGACGTAGCATTTAGAGGTATATCTTGGATGAGTTTTACCACAAGAGGGATGAATTATTCACTAGAACAAATAAATGAAACAGGTATCAAAACGAAAATACCATTTTTCCAAGCTGTAAAAGTTAACATAGAGAAACGAAAGTAACATCAAGGGAGATAACTTTACCAAATTATCTCCCTTATTGTGGTTTCATAGATCGACAGCCGGGCTCTTCCTATAATACATGTGTTATACCTGGTGATATTTTGTTTCTCTTATCTTCCTTAAAGCCGGCCAGATTGCCAGATCCTGTGGTCAGTTTCCCGGTCAGTTCCCCCAGGGCTACAATCTTCTCTGTTTCACTCACTGTAACATAGCATAAACATACACACTTTACAAATAATTACTCTTGACCATGTTGACGAGGTCAAAATGTGAAAACAATTACCAAAGGACCCGACCTTGAGGGGGTCTGACCGCCAAAGGGGTCGGGTCAGAGCGTCCTTGTTTTTGCATATTTACCTCGTTATATTTATGTTATACCGAAATTCACTTTAAAGATTATGAAGTCTTTAAACCATTACAGTAACTTAGCTGCGAATCATGAATTTTCATACCAGACGCCATCTTGTTTTCTAGCAGACGAGTCAATATTCATCATGTGACAAGTCAATACTGATCATGTGATGAATCAATATTCAAGGTCAGTGTTGAAAATGTCATTGAACTGTATTGTTTCGTCACATGGTACGGATTACCAACTGGAATTGCCAAATTCCTTATAGAGGTAAAACAATGTTAGTTATTCAATTCCACCCTTAACAATTTTCCAAGAAAATGATGACAGGCTGTATATAATTGCATCTGGACAAGTCAAACCAGTGATGGAGATTAAACACAATGATCTACGCCATCAGGGTGCACCATGCATGACCACCAGTTCCATGAAGTCACCTGGCACCAATTCTGACCCAGAACCCACACTGGGGTTTTCCTAACGTTTCTATGTTCTTCTGACGTACCTTTGCCATCATTGTCTGGGTTGACCACTGTGAGAGTTGTAGCTCCATCCTTCCTTCTCCTCAGGAATCCAAACTGTTCAACATGAAAATTGTCGACTTAGCATACTGGGGGTGATATAGACAATAAAACACTTCTTTCACTTCAGCTGTCAATCAAACCATGTGACTGACCAATCAGAAAGATTGGTGATACAAATTCCACCATTTTGTCTGATAACATCAAACCTGTCAGACCTTTATCACAATGACATTTATTATTCCTGTAACTTTGATGTTGAAGACCGGAGTCTCAACAGACGAGTTAGCTCACTCTCCACTTGGTACTCAGTCCAGGAACCTGAATAATGACAATAAACAAAGGGGCATTCAAATGATAATTCTGAATGCACAGGATACAGAGTACTGGGCTGCAGCAGCGGGTATGGTATCATCTGTCTGTGCTGGTGTGTACCTGTCAACTGGGACTGGTGTAGACACTGAACGTCCTCAGACTGAGACGTCATGTTGAAAGTGGGAAGCGAAGACAGTATCAGTAACAGTTCAACTGCGGAGACAGTTCAATTGCTTTGTATGGCCATGATATAGGGGACAGCTCTCCTCACAGGAGGAGGCAATCCAGCGAGGGTGTAGTACCAAAGGATAGTCGAGTGGTGCCCAGAGGAAGCTGTGGTAAGGGATACTGCCGTAGTGGCCGCCGTAGAAAGTGGGATGAAGAACCTCTTGCAGGCGCGGCGATGTGGTATTGCAGCCTCGAGGTAGATGTGGAGAACTCTAACCGGGCATAAGGAGATGTCTTCATGGTCATCTGGGTTCACGTGACATTTTATGTCCCTGGTTCCAGGAGTCGAGCAAATGGAGGAAGTCGAGAATCAGAACAAGAGGGACATCAACTTGGTGGAACCCATTTTGTTGATATACCAGACCACTGATAGATGGTCTGACTGGAGTATGAGGCATGATGCAAGAAGGTTCTCTTCCCCTGATACACTTTATCAGTCTTCTATGATTGATGTAGATCTGTAGAATGTCGATCCCTCTACTTGCGATCCCTCGAATGTCAATGTCGATCCTGATCAGAAGGGTGTGATCTATCTCAACTCATCCTTTCTGTAGGTGGAGGGTGAAGACAAGGCATCAAATTCTACGAGAGTCGACAACAGGAGGCTGTGGTCTGTGATAAGACGTCCTCTTCAGCAAGTACTAGATCAGGGGATGTACTAGGGAGCGGGGGATGACAGACGATGCTCAGCAGAGGGTCGAGGAACATAGGGAGGGTTGGTAGCAGTAGATGTCGCACCTGTAGTGGAGTCTTCCACCAAAACTGTACATATGTCTGTATCGTTGAGCAAATATTGGCATACTAACTGCTGTGCAGGTGACAGATGACAATTTAGTTTTGGCGGCAACATTTTTGTGTAGAAACCTGTCCGATACAATGTCATCTTCAACTCAGGTGGATTTGTTGTGAGTGTCGATCCTGAGAACGTCGACCCATAGACCTGGAAAGTCAATCCCTTGATTGTCAATCCATTCATGACCTATCCCAAGAATGTCGAAGCTCCCAGTAGATGAGATGGGGGAATTCTGATTACACCTAGACGAGGGAGTTAAAGTGTCACGAAAAGACAATATTGGCTGACTGGAACGAAGCTGTAGGGCAGAAGTCCGGCCTGCAGGAGCGACTCTAAGTCCGGAAATGAAATACTAGTCTGGTCAAGATGTTCCCAGGAGGTAGACAGAGAGACCTCCATAGTAGCACACATCAAGGAAGCATTTCCTTGGTAGAAGTAGAGTACCCGTACGATCAATCCGGGGTGAAGTCAGGAACTGTCACCGTCGACTTGAGAGGATTGTGTTCTGAGACGAAGTGGCCAGTTGGGTGACAAATTAAACAACATGTGGACGGGTTGGGGACCATAAGCGACCACGGCTGACGATCGGGAAGCACTAGGAGGGTCAACAGTAAGGGCTGTCAAAGCTAGCTTGGGCGAGCCGTCCTTAGAAATAACCATGCGGACGGCCCAGGCTATTGGTTGCTTCAATGAAGGCATGGACAAGGGCGCACTGCGGGCAATCGGCTGGTCCGAAGTGGTGGGAATGTTGTCAGTGAGAAAGGTGTCCATGATGCCATCATCTTCAACTGACAAGGAGAGTATGGTGGATGCTTGAGGTGGTTTCACAACTGGAACTGTGATAGAGATGAACTCCCTGACATGCTGAAGTGGTCCCTGACTTATCAGTAGTTCCACTGTGAGATCAATCAGTAGAGCAGCGATCCTGAGAGGGTCGATCCCTAATACCTTCGATCTCTTGAGTTTCGATTTCAGGAATGTCGATCCTTAGATCTAGAGAGTTAGAACTGTTTGGTTGATGTCGATAAAACGATAATACTTTGTTTGTTGTTTAACGCTGCACTCAGCAATGTTCCAGCTTTATGACGGCGGTCTGTAAATAATCCAGTCTGGACCAGACAATTCAGTGATTGACATTATGAGCATCAATCCACGGAACTGGGATATGATGACATGCATCAACCAAGTCAGCGAGCTTGACCACCCAATCCCGTTAGTCGACTCTTATGACAAGCATAGGTGCCTTAAAGCAAGCATGGGTTGCTGAAGACCTATTCTACCCCGGATCTTCACGGTCTATAAAACGATAATACAATTTTAATGGAAACTTAATCCTGGTAGAGACGGTAACCAGTCAGATAACAGTGCAAGCCTCAAAAGCCCTCAAGCAGACTATAACCAGGAGTCTCACAGATTTCGGGCACAAGAGAGTAAAACCCTAGGTTACCATACAGTGAAATCTTGGTAGTCCAGAACCTGTTAATCTGGAAACCCCACCTTTGGAACACATACATGTATACAAGGTGATATTACACTGTAACCATGATTTGTTAATCCAGAATTTGTGTAATCTGGACGAACAACACTGTCCAGATTATAAGGGTTTCACTAAACATGTGTTGCCTCCAACATACATTTTGCAAGTTGCTTGGATGGAAATAATTTATTGATCTACAGTCGAAAATAGGAAAAAGATAAAAAGAACAACCTATTGAGTACATCTGCTATCCCATGCCAGTGTTACTATGGTTACCTTGCTCTTGTCTTTCCGTAGCGTGAGTTCCTCCTTCACCTCCTTGGCTGCAGCCTGGGCCTGGGCGAGGATCTGCTCCGGCGACATGTTGTCAGGGATGGCTTCAAACCGAGTCAAGCTGCAATTTCAAGCAAAATAATCATACCAACTTCCGCTTGAACATTCAGCAGCGTTAGAAATTGGCACTAGTCCTGTAGTCCTTGCCAAACTGCCCAATAGTTAAGATATCGCAAGGACGGAACAGTAGACTTTGCAAGTTGGATGGGTTTGGGTATATGTTATCGTTATAAGGACTAGTGGACTAAACATGTTAGTTTCTACCACTGTTCAGGTGAGGTGAAATGGGGTTTAACGTCGCGTCCAAGATTATTGCACTTATATAGCATACGTGCATGTACGTGTGTGTGTGTGTGTGGCTGCTTGTACTAGTCCAGACTGATGCCGATTTATAGTGCTAGCTCACTCAGATACCATGCGGCAAGTTTAACATGAATACCCCACTCAGACACAGTATACTGACTCCGAGCCGACCAGTCCTTGTTTTAGCCCCTTAATGCCGAGCGCCAGACAGGGTAACAACGAGTACCATCTTTTAACGTCTTTTGGTATGATGCAGTCGGGGATCGAATCCCGGACCTTCCGCTCTCGGGGCCACTAGACCACAGAGGCAGTCCACCACTGTTCAGTGTAAACACAGCCACAGAGTGGATTCATTTCACCTTTCCATTCAAAATTCCACTAGCCTCTTCAGCAAGACTAGAGAGACTCATGCTCCCAGTGCTTTTCAGCGGTTTCTAACTAGATAATGGCACTATACAAATGCATATTTTGATTGCTATTCTGTTGTTTGTTTGTTTGTTGTTTAATGTAGCACTCAGCATATTCCAGCTCTATGATGGCAGTCTGTAAATAAGCGAGTCTGGCCTTTTACGGCAAGCATGGGTTGCTGAAGACCTATTCTAGCCCGAAACTTCACAGGTCTGCTCTTCTGTATCTTAATCACATTGTAGTGTCACCCTTCAGTGGACAGTGTTCTGTCAGAACTTAACACGCTGTCATCCCTACACCGACATTCTCTATCTCAATTACATCGTCGTCTCATCTTCAAGTGGGCATATGCTGTGATAAAATGCAAATACTCTGATGCAAATACTCTGTCATCCCTACACAGACATTCTAGGCTCACCTCTTTGACTTCTGTATTTTCTTCAGCTCCTTCCTCCTCTGTTCTTCCTCATCGATGACCGTCACCATCTCGGCGACAGCGCCGTTCTCGTGAAAGCCAATCTCCTCCAAGGTGATGTTTGCCATGAAGCTCTGGGTCTTCTTCATGTTGAGAATCTTCTCCTGGAACACAAAGACACGTCCAACTGACTCAACACTCTAGCAGCAAATAACTTTGAATTTGTTGTTGTTTTGTTGTTGTTTACTGAGCAATATTCCAGCTATATGATGGCCGTGTGTAAATTTAGTAAAATCTAAATATTTTTTACATTTGTATACTTATCCTGCATTACTCCGTATTGCATTTACTGCTGTCTTTGACAGAGAGACGAACTGTGTGAGATCCAGCTGCTGAAGAAAGTTGTTTCCATCTGTCCAGGAAGCAGCGCCCCCTCCCACACAGTCGGCACGTGACCCGGAAGACATGACGTCATGTCAAAACTCATAACTGCTTTAACATAACATCGGAAACTAAATTTTTTAACTTATCCTGCATTACTCCGTATTGCATCTTTATCAGACGGCACGGCCGGTGGGCATACCTTCAGATGTGAGCCAGAAGAAAAACCCTCGACAAAGGTCCGATGAAATCGCACCGCATGGACAAGAGATGACCGGAACACCAGCGACCATTCCTGTCAAAGGAAACGAGAGTCGATGCAAAAGAGGGAACCCGAAATAGGTGACAGAAATAGTATGAGGCGGGAATGCCAAAACTAGCACTGACCTAAGAGCGAATGCGGAACGCAGTAGAGCCCTCTAATCTGTGGTGACAAACACCAGAGAGTTCGACGGGCCCCGCTCAGGGTAACGGAGAATCAGTGGCATCGGGGGTTGGTGACCTGTTGAGCTACCACCAGGGGACCAAAGCTATGAATGCCAGCGACATCTTCCAAGGCTACATCACGGAGGTAGTGGTTGGCGAAAACGGTGTCGGAACGCCAAAAACAGCCTTCCATGATAGATTTGAGGGAACAGTTACTGTGCAGAGCCATGGTAGACGCGACCGCCTGAATCTCGTGGGGGTTGTTAGCCTTGGGGGGGTCCAATCCGGCGACTTTATAAGCTTGTAGGATGACCGCCCGGAGCCACAGGGAGATAGTATTCCTGCTGACCTCCGACAGCGACGAAGGGGAGACCGGTAGGAAAAGGCGTTTCCTAGACTTATGGCAGGCTTTAGATCATCGCAGGAAAACCTTCAGGGCCCTAACTGGGCATAATAAAAGCTCCTCCACGTCGTCGGCACCCACAATCGACGAAAGTGGAGGGATGGTGAAGGATCTATCAGGCTGTCCGGGGAGTTGATTCTTTGCGATGAAGTCCCAGCACAGCCAAAGATGAACTGCTTCATGAGTCCCGCGTTCGAACCTGACCCGAGAGACGTCGAGGGCGTGGAGCTCACTAACCCGGGCGGCCGTAGCCAAGGCCAGTAGAAACACCGTCTTCTTCGTTAAGTCGTAAAAGGAAGACGTGTGGAGTGGTTCGAAGGGAGCCTCCCGAAGAGCCTTTAAGACCACATTCAGATCCCACGCAGGTGGTCTGAACTTGGCTTTCTGGTCGTCGAGACGAAACGAGCGCAGCATAGCCTGGAGTTCGGGAATTTTCGTCATTCTCCCAGGGAACACTGAAGGCGTTGACTGCTACAGCGGCCGGATCCGGGACCGGCGAGATGTAAGTCGGCAGCTGGCAGTTCTGAGACGTGGCGAACAGATCGATGTTTGGAGTGGCGATCGTTTGACAAAGGACTGTGAAGATCTCTGGGTGGAGTCGCCATTCGGTGGGAGCCACCTTGTCCGGCCTGGACAGAGCGTCTGCCAGAACATTCTTGCAACCTGGAATGTGCTGAACAAGGAATTGCAAGTCTAAGCGGTCCACCAGGTCGAAGAATCGGAAGGTCTGGTTGAGCAGGGACTGAGAGTGGAGAATACCCTGATTCCTCAGACACCACACCACGGTGATGTTGTCCGTGGAGATGGTCAACTGGGCGTGAAGGAGAATGCTCTGCCAGTGGAAGACGGCCAGTATGAGAGCTTCGAGTTCGAGGTTGTTGCTGTGCCAGTGGAGTCGATCTCCGGACCACAGCCCTGCAACTGTTTGAGTCCCCAGATGAGCCCCCCAACCCTGTTTGGATGCGTCGACGAACAGGTGGAGGGAGGGCTGTAGCGCGGTCAAGGAGACGCCGCCGCAGACGTTCGATTCCACCGTCCATCATCAGAGAAAGGGGTGGAGGTGGACCGGGAGGACGATGAGGGACTCCGGATCCTGCTGCCGGATAAAGGGTGCGAGAAACCGTTGAATTGGACGGAGTTGGAGGCGACCTCTGGCAGTCAGGTCTTGAGCCGACGTGAGGAGACCCAATAGAACCTGCCATTGGTGGAGAGTTCGAGCCTGTTGAAGGGCAGGGAAGAGATGAGCGAGGATTTTCAACCACCTGTCTCTGAGGACTTGAAGGAGGTCCTGATCCGTGAGAAACAGGCCCCCGATAAACTGCAGACGGAACGATGGGGTCAGCTCCGACTTGGTCTGATTGACGATCCAACCCAACTGATTGAAGAGCCGCAGGGTAAAATCCCTGTGACGCAGTAGCAACGCCGAGTCCGATTGTTGAGGAGACAATCGTCGATGTATGGATCGAAGTTGATGTTCCTCAGGTGTAGGTAGGCGGCGACCGGTCGGGTGATCCGTGTGAAAAGCCACGGGGCCGTTGAAATTCCAAATGGTAGGACCGCCCACTGGTAATGGGTACCATTGAAAAAGAACCTGAGGAAGCGCCGGTCGTTGGGGTGGATGGGTACATGAAGATAGGCGTCCTGGATGTCGAGGCTGATCAGGGAATCGCCAGCTGAGATTCTCGTCCTGAGCAGTCGCAACGTCGTCATGCGGAAGTAGGGAGGACGTTCCAGGTAGTGCCGGTTGAAAGTGGAGAGATTGTGTATCATGCGCCAGCTGGTGGTCCCCTTCTTGGGCACCAGAAACACCGGAGAGTAAAATCCTGGGTGTCGAGCCGGGTCGTGTACGATCTCTATGGCCTCCTTCTGCAGTAGGGAAACGATGCTGTCGTGAAGGGGCCAAAGCTGGTGGGGTGAATAAGCGCCTGTTGACGGAGTAGACGTCAGAGGAGGCAGCGCAGACAATGGGAGCCGGTACCCCTGACGGAGGACGTCGGTGACGAACGGGTCCTCCAGTATGGACCAGTTTCTCCAAAACTGGCCTAGTCTCCCACCCACAGGTGTGTCGGTGACCTGAACGGCTGGGGGTGGGAGGTCCCAGTCGTTGAGGTGCCGCCGGTCAACGCTTTGAGGTGGAATCGGCACCCTTGCCGGGGCGACGATCCCTTCGGGGTTGGTAAGTGCCACGGGCTCTACCACGACCACGCCCTGTCCCACGAAAGGGCGAGGTATGTTTGGAGACGACCTTGAGGGAGGAACGGCGTGGTTTATAGTTGCCTTTGGAGGACTTGGCCGCTGATTGGTGTGTTACATGCTCCAAGGCTCTGAGAGCAGTTTCATCCCTGGCGAATCTGGAGACTCGGGTGTGGGTAGCGGAGATAGCACCATTAAAAAGGGTAGGACCCGACCAAGGTTGTCGTAGTAAGGAACGCTTGAATTCGGAACCCCAGTCCGTGGAAGTCAAGTAACCCAACCGTCGAGTAGTGGTGATCTCCGCAAGCGCAGCTCTCAGGTGATTGCGCATGTGATCGATCTGGCGAAGTTGGAATGTCATAACCGTGCGCAAGTGGTCGATCCTGTTAGGATTGGATTCAGCGAGATCCTGGTCAATGGCTCTGGCAGATGAGGCAAGTGTAGATAGTGGCTTCAAAGTACGGCGCAGTTCTGTTTCCACGAAAGCGAGTCGGGAGTCCGGCATACGTATGGTGACGGACTGGGAAGACCCGGTCATTCGATGTAAGTCCTCGTCAAGGATATGTGCACCGTCGGCCACGTCGAAGGAGTGGACGGGGAAATCTTCCCGCCGGAAACGCGGAGCCTTGAACGACGGCGTGAGGGACAACTTAGCGAAGTCCTCGTCCAACGCCGTAACCAGGTCAGTGAGCATTGGGTCGGTAGGTAGAGAAGTCGGATTAGACCAGATCGTCAACTTTTTATCCACATCAGAGCCCGGGGAGGGAGCGACGGAGGCCAGACGGTCCGCCAACCAATCAGCAACCTGTGAAAGGCCCAAGTGTGTATCAATCTCGGGAGATGGAGGGTCATAATTGGGGCGAAATGATCCTTCCGAGGAGGAGGAACGACGTCGTCTATGTACAGGTGAGCGACTACGAGAGCGACTACGAGAGCGACGACGGGAACGAGCAGACTTGGACGAGTGCCGAGAAACAGTCGGAGGCGACGAGGTGTACAATGTTCGAGACCGAGAAGCACCCGATGTGGAGGGGGCCGCAGGAATCGAAGTAACAGTAGTCGGGGCCGTCAGCGTCGCCGGCGTCGCAGGAGGCACCGTCGGCGCCGCTGAGGTGGGTTGAGCTTGCGCAAACAATGACTGCATCCAAGCTTGCATCCAAGATGGATCCATGAACGATGACGGAAGGGCATGTCCATAAGTAGGAGGCGCAGCACAAGTCAAAGGCGCCGAAGTAGTCAGAGGCGCCGTATACATCGAAGACATCAGAGGCGCCGGACCAAGAGGCGCCGGATACATCGGAGGCGCCGGACCAAGAGGCGCCGGATACATCAGAGGCGCCGGACCAAGAGGCGCCGGAGGCGCCGGATACATCGGAGGCGCCGGACCAAGAGGCGCCGGAGGCGCCGGATACATCAGAGGCGCCAGACCAAGAGGCGCCGGATACATCGGAGGCGCCGGGTACATCGGAGGTGCCGGACCAAGAGGCGCCGGAGTTGTCATCGTAGATGGTAGAGGTGACAGGAAACCCGAAACGGGCGATGCTGCAGACGATGTCGAAGCAGACGACGGTAAGGGTGGTGTAGGAGACCGTGTACGGTCGGATGTCGTGCCATGGGAGGCAGACTCTACGTTGGATGACATGTTGGAGAGTCGACGCACACGCTGGGTGAATCGTTTCCGAGACACTCTTAGGTAGGCGGTGAAGGAGACTGGCGACAGGGGACTCCAATAACTGCAACGCTCTGTGAGGGTACACGGGGTTGTACAGTCCAGGCAGCAGGGGTGGGGGTCCCATCCAGATTTATTCCCGCGGCAGCTAGAGCAGTGAGACATACTGGAATTGAAGCAAAAAACATAACGATGTGTAAACACACAACGTGAAACATAATGTAACTCAACATAACTTATTCTTGTTACAAAGTTAATAAGAGCAAACAATTACGCTTCAAACACGCCAAAAACAATCATTAAACTTAATGTAAAACTCCAACCATAGAGCGAATTCAAGACACAAAACACGAAAGTACGTGGACACGTAGTGAATCGCAACAGGGCGGGAAAAAATGGCGGTAAACCAAAATGGCGGGAAACAACAATACGCTCGGAAAAACCGTGACGAGAGTCACAACCCGAGCGAGAAACGTTACCAATTAACAATATAATGAAGGCAAAGGTAATACAGCAGACTTTTGTGGTAGAAAAACGAAAGAAAGTCAGGACCAAGAAAGCTTTAATAATTCCACTGAGGGATACAGTTCACGTCCGATCCATGTGGTTGACAAAGCAGTTATGAGTTTTGACATGACGTCATGTCTTCCGGGTCACGTGCCGACTGTGTGGGAGGGGGCGCTGCTTCCTGGACAGATGGAAACAACTTTCTTCAGCAGCTGGATCTCACACAGTTCGTCTCTCTGTCAAAGACAGCAGTAAATGCAATACGGAGTAATGCAGGATAAGTTAAAAAATAAACGAGTCTGGACCAGACAATCCTGTGATTGACATCATGAGCATCAAACTACTGGGATACGATGACATGCATCAACCAAGTCAGCGAGCCTGAGCAACCAATCCCGTTAGTCCCCTCTTACGACAATCATGGGTTGCTGAAGATCGATTTTAACCCAGATATTCACAGTAAATTTTAAACATAACAAAGCCATCTACTGCCATGTTCATTCAAGGCTGGGACTTTGAACCCATGACCAAGCTTATCGCAATAATTCCGTCATGCGTCATGTGTGGGACTTAAGTCTGACCCAGTGTTTAAGCACACATGGCAGTTGAAGCATCTTCCTGCAGCAAGGGAGTTAACTGACTGTAGAAAAAATATTTTTCTTTGAGCATCCATTGTAGGCCCTCAATCAGAACGTCAATGAGATAACACTGTGGAGGCTACAAGACTAAATCACTGTTGTTACCTTGCTGTAGTAGTGGGGACCTACTCTACATGAATGTCAATGAGGTAACACTGTGGAGGCTACAAGACTAGATCACTGTTGTTACCTTGCTGAGAAGCTTCAAGCCAGACTGCATCAGCCTCTTGGCTTCCTTGTAGTAGATTGTTTCCGGACGGTTGTATGTCATAGCATTGTTGCACATCGTTATGAAATCTTTCTGAAATTCCAAACATATTAAACATAATCATAGACCTCAGCGTTTCAAAGGTGGATATTCTGAACCATTTCTGCAGGAAACAACAAAACCTTTTAAATTCCAATGAATATTTGCAATTTATAAGTGACTTTAATCTACTAATAAGCAACGAAGGAACAATAAATAGGAAACTGCTTGAATGATTAGTTTGACATTATTGCGTTAAATACAATGTCACAATATCTCTAGATAAATGAAAATATTCAAAGCGACCTTTTCATAAATTGTTTCAATTATGGAATAAATAATTATCCCCCCTCCCCCACCCCCAATTTGCCTGCCAAAATTGTTGGATGACCTGCGTTACCTTGTACTCCATGACGTTGCGGTACTCGTCATCTTCAATCTTGGTGAGTATGGTGCTGAAGTCCATGGGGTAGGAGATGATGCTGGAGTAGCCGGGGGCAATTGCATCTGTGACTGGGTAGGCGAAGAAACCATTCAAGTCCTTCCTGAAACACCAATCACTGTCTGGTTCAATCTGTCTCCTTAATCCATACATTGTTTGACACCATGATACATGCACCAATCACTGTCTGCTTCAATCTGTCTCCTTAATCCATACATTGTTTGACACCATGATGCATGCACCAATCACTGTCTGGTTCAATCTGTCTCCTTAATCCATACATTGTTTGACACCATGATACATGCACCAATCACTGTCTGGTTCAATCTGTCTCCTTAATCCATACATTGTTTGACACCATGATACATGCACCAATCTGTCTGGTTCAATCTGTCTCCTTAATCCATACATTGTTTGACACCATGATACATGCACCAATCTGTCTGGTTCAATGTGTCTCCTTAATCCATACATTGTTTGACACCATGATACATGCACCAATCTGTCTGGTTCAATCTGTCTCCTTAATCCATACATTGTTTGACACCATGATACATGCACCAATCTGTCTGCTTCAATCTGTCTCCTTAATCCATACATTGTTTGACACCATGATACATGCACCAATCTGTCTGGTTCAATCTGTCTCCTTAATCCAAACATTGTTTGACACCATGATACATGCACCAATCTGTCTGGTTCAATCTGTCTCCTTAATCCATACATTGTTTGACACCATGATACATGCACCAATCTGTCTGGTTCAATGTGTCTCCTTAATCCATACATTGTTTGACACCATGATACATGCACCAATCTGTCTGGTTCAATCTGTCTCCTTAATCCATACATTGTTTGACACCATGATGCATGCACCAATCTGTCTGGTTCAATCTGTCTCCTTAATCCATACATTGTTTGACACCATGATACATGCACCAATCTGTCTGCTTCAATCTGTCTCCTTAATCCATACATTGTTTGACACCATGATACATGCACCAATCTGTCTGGTTCAATCTGTCTCCTTAATCCATACATTGTTTGACACCATGATGCAAGTCCAGGTCCCAGCAACCAACTTGGCGGCACTATTGGCTCCATGCTCATTGGACATGGATAAGTTGATACAGTCAAGTCGGCGGTATAAACTAACAGTTTCAGTCCACTAGTCCTTATAATGATAACATGTAGCAAAACCCTTAAGAATGGCACATTTCTACTAGTCCTTACGATACCTTAACTATTGGGCAGTTTGGCCAGGACTACAGGACTAGTGTCAATTTCTAACACTGTAAGTCACGTTAATCCGACACTGGTTAATCCGACAATTGGCTTTATCCGACACAAATGATAGGAACCGATTAAATCAGGGCTATTTAGACCCGTTAATCCAACAGTCTCGCACTCTGACTCTGACACACTTAATTTGCAACAAATTGCTGAGATCATTTATTAATCAGTCTCATTAACCGACACGGTGATCAGCGTCCTCCATGGTCATCTGCCCACAAGTACACAGCCCCGTGTTGTGATGCGAGACGAGTCGGAGAGTAGCTGAATATTTCAACGGCAGCTGAGATAAACTTGTTTAACAAAAAACAATTACTGCTTTAAATATACAAAACAGGATGATTCACATGCCTAGATAACCTCAATCTCTTAAACATTGGATACAAGTTCTCACAACTGCTGAGGACATCCCATTACAGGTCACGTCAGAACGACCTTTCTCCAACTTTGACCGACAATGAAATTACTAACAGGAAGTCGACATAAGCCACTAAGAAAGCAGCTTTCTTAAACATTGGGGCACCAGTTTGAAATTGGGGACTTTTCTTCCAGACTATGCTTTATAATGTATTTCGAATCAGTCATACAGTTCGTAACAGTAGTTTTGTGTTAAACTTTAGAGGTTGTGATTAGAAAACATATTCCGCTAACAATATAACATAACAATATAAATATTTCTTTTTGTCCTTTAGTTTCATTACAAAATGTTTGAATCATTATCTATCATGTAGTTGTCCGGTTTTAGATCACAAACTTTGCTACTACCTAATTTCGTATTTCCAACAAACTCGTTAATCCGACATAATCATATGCAACCAACAATGTCGGATTAACGCTACATGACAATAAATGTTTCATAGACCACTGAGCTTAGAGTTTAGGCGTTTTTTTGTGTATGGTTTATAAATGCATAGTTTTCTCAACTTGGGGTTCATTAGCCCCTGGTGTAGTGGTTCTAACTGTGGTTCATGAAAAGAACATAGCATGCTTAGAGAAGTATCACATATATTATTATATCAACTCCTTCCATCATCCCAACTTGTTATCAGATTTCTGTTCTAACTGTTGGGGAACCCTGACACCCATGTTATTCTCTTACCCCTGCAATTTCTTCTGTATGTAGTGCAGACACTGTCTAAGTATAGCATTGCTGTCCTCGCCCTGTACTGTACACTGCCGAGGTTCACGGGATACATCTTGCTCCTCCACCTCCATCTTGACTGGCTCCACCACCTGGGGCGGAGGTACGACAATGTGAGGCTGTTTCTCAGGGGGTTCCTCCTGTGGCAAGACTGTGGTGCCCTCATCTCCTCCTACGTACGTCTCTGCCTTCCTCTTGCTGCTGCTGCTGCTGCCTTCCTACGTACATACCAGGGAGTGTATTGGCTTCAGCCATAATGAATACATATATCAGTCAGTGATCATAGGATCATGTTATTGTTGTTTGGATTAATTGGAGCAACGGTTGTAAGACTGAGGGAGAGCGAGAGAGAGAGAGGGAGGAGAGAGGGGTAGGGTAGGGTAGGGTAGGGTAGGGTAGGGTAGGGTAGGGTAGTGTAGTGTAGTGTAGTGTAGTGTAGTGTAGTGTAGTGTAGTGTAGTGTAGTGTAGTGTAGTGTAGTGTAGTGTAGTGTAGTGTAGTGTAGTGTAGTGTAGGGTAGGGTAGGGTAGGGTGGGATGGGGGCTTTTAGGGGTAGCGCTGACATCCTTTTTCAGACACCTGATATGTCCAGATATCAGCCCCTTCATCATATATACATCATCATTTTATTATAACTGTATTATCATATCAAAACATTTTATTGATGTGTACATCTATAATAACATTGGATAGGGTATCAGTTGAGAAAGCTATCATGAGTGATCATACCCCATCATGCTTGTGTCTGTCCTTGTCCTTATCCTTATCTCTATCCTTATCCTTCTTCTTTTTCTTCTTCTTATGCTTGTGTTTCTTCTCCTCGTGGTGGGGTGAGTGTGTATACACATCCTGTATTGTCTCTGTGGGCTGCGAACCTCCAACTTTCAACACAAGCTTCAAAGGCTTCTCTACAACCTCCTGAGTGTAACCCTCTGAAACAGACACAGAATAATAATAGCTATATCTACTTTTTCCAGTGTAAAACAAAATGTCTCTTAGACAACATTTTAAATAGTTTTTGATACAATGCTAATTATTAATTCATTGTGGCCATATCATGCTTATAGGCAGAAGGGAAGCCTTAACTGTTGTCATGTTGAAGGGCTTGATTGCCTACATTCTATCATGGATAAACATATGATAAAAGTGTGTGAGTTTACTTTAAAAAATATTACCGGTACTTCTATGCCTGCATTTCTCAGTAGTTGCATCCAAATATTAAATTACAGAAAGGCATGCATGATAAGGCAAACTGAAGCCACCTACGGAAGTAATGTACATAACGTGCTTACTGGGCACACTTTTTCAGATTTCAATAAACGCTAGACGGAGGATCGAACTTGCCAGCTTGAAGCTAAGCTAGTATAATGGGTTAATCTAACTAGCCAAGATTTCACCATGGGACCAGTATCATAAATAATTAGTATTTGTTTAGCCAAATCATCAGCACCTGATTGTTTACCTTTGTGTGTATGTGCAGTAGCTACTGTCTCTGTTTAACTACAAAATTGTTCAGATTTTCCTCAAATTAGATTGAATTAATTCCCATCTATAATCATACGGATCGTAAACGGTGCCTAACCCCAAGCCAGCCAAGGATAGTAACGGCGCGTGTGATTAGCAAGTGGAGTCTCCAACTCTAAGGATCATGAAGGGGTACCTAACCATAATGATCGTAAAGGTGATCCAACTGCTATGGATAGAGTTGGCCCTAACTAACCTGACCCTTAGGCCAAGAGTCGAAGAGGCTGGCGAGATCTATGAAACGAGAGGTGCAACCGGCAGCCTAAGGTCACTTAGCACTGCAAAAGCTGCACCCGGTAAACTGCATTGTTGCCCCAAAAAGAATGTAATGATTCATGAATGTGAGTACTAAAGTAAAAGTACCAGAAAACTTGACAATATGCAAACTATACTGCGAGAAATGAGGTGACGCTACTGATATTTCACCAGTTCAAGTTGCTACAAACACCAAAAGGACGAAAGAAAATATGTTAAAAGTGCAGAACTAATTCATAATACACGTATTCTCACCTTCTGCGTCGAGAGATTTCTTTTCTGATTTATGTTTCTTGTGTTTTTTACCCATATTTGTTGTTTAGATCTAGATCACAAATAAAGCTTTGTCAAGAAACCGGAAGTACCCGGCATCTGACTAAAAGACGGACAGTACGGCATGCACAATAGCTTTGTAGACTTTGTTCAGTCTCTTTGATATTTCTTTCATCAAGCGAGCCAGTCGTACTGTTTGAAAGTCTCAGCTTAGAACCTGTTGATGTTAAATATTTTCCTGAATATCGGTGATTAAAATCAGGACCTTGTGGCCACCTAATCCATGCCGTTAGGGTTGGATTAGCTACAAACTGTATAAGATTTCTAAACAATATATGAACTTTAGTGAAACCCCAGAGCGACCACAGAATATAGGATGAGAAATGTTGCTGTAGGTGAATAGTGTAGTCAACACAATATTTTTTTACAGGTTTTCCATTAATGAGTATGTAAACAGACTCTTGAATTTTGAGATTGTTTCAGTAATGTGGTCTTGGCAGAAACACACAGTATCGCCAAACCCCTGTCTGGTCACTGAATACAGGCAATTACAGGAACTATTCTAACCATATCGGAGTAAAAGAGTTGATTTTAATGCGATTGAAGAACTGTTGCACTTGACCACTTTTTCAATGGAGCATATTTTCGTATTAAAATAATAAACATCAGCATGGCGAAAAACAAAAATCCTAAGATAGTAAAGGGAGCCAAGTGCACTGAGTGTGGATGGAGAACTAGGATAAAATGCTAAAAAGTTTTAATAAGTAGTTTATTCAAGCATGATGCCAAGCTTCTATAGATGTGCCTGCTACACTGCAGTTACTGCACCCCGCATCTGGATCCGCCAATGAATAGGTGTCAATTAGTTTCCTATTTAAAAAATTAAGTCATACATGGCATCAACAGGGTGATTTAGGACAGACAAATGTAATAGGTCTTCAGCAACCCATGCTTGCCGTAATAGGTGACTATGCTTGTCGTGAGAGGCGACTAACGGGATCGGGTGATCAGGCGACCAGGTGGTTGAGGCATGTCATCGTATCCCAATTGCGTGGATCGATGCTCATGGTGTCAATCACTGGATTGTCTGGTCCAGACTCGATTATTTACAGACCGCCGTCATATAGCTGGAATATTGATGAGTGGGGAGTTAAACAACAAACAAACAAAAATGGTTAACGACGTATGGGACATGCAGTTTTTGTGAAGCAAACCGAACTAAACAGACAATGATGAGTAAGATCAGTACTGCCTGTCTTGGCTTACCTTATCACAATTTACAAATACCGTATTCGCTCTCCTACAATATGCGTCGCGCCCCGATCAACGTCAAACCCAATCTGGAAGTAATCTTTGTAAGTTAACATCAAAAAGACTGAAAATTTAAGTGACAATCCCTTTGTTGTTGTCTGTATTACGTATTTCCTTTACTTTTTGCCTAGAATATTATCAAAACTAGACTTGCTATGTCAGCATTACGGTAAGGAGAGGGCGTAAGAGGAACAAATATGGTTCAGGCCTATAAAACATGTCAGACAGACCAGCTTGGAATGTGTGCGTGAGGTGAGATATTACGTGTGCCTCAACCATCTGTAATAGGGTAAGATATGTATATTAAAACTACATTTTCAACCCCTGATTAAACAAATGTTATTTTACATGTTGATGAATGACTGGCCCTTTGACGCGAAGCTGTGATGTGTAACATCCGCGTTTTGCCGAAGGACCAACAATCACGGAAGTATACTGTACTTCCGTGATTGTTCGTCCCGGACCTACCTGTACTGTACAGGTAGATCCTGGTCGCCCCTTTATTGATTTTACCCCGCATTCGTAATGGGGTTGCGACAATGCGCCGCAGGGAGGTTCAAGATGAATTGTTACTTGCACCGACTAGGTGGTTATGTTATATATCACCACATGTTTGAGTATAACAGACGATGACGAAATACACCGAGTGATGAAATATATAAAGACCATGCAACCCAGATCTATCTTTATAATCTTGGCATTATCCTGGCTAACAAAGTGAGGGCAAATTATTGATCCAAAAGTTGTCAGTCACGTGGATAGAAATAAAACTAGGTCAAGGTTAGTGTTAAGGCTCTTTAGAAGTGTTGAATGGGAATTCTCCATAAAAGAACCCAAACGACACACACAGGCACTGATCCGGGTGCAAGTTCCGGTTTATTTGCAAAGCTCATCACTTGGTCGAACTGAATCAGCCCCTGTGAGGAGTATACGCTGACATACCATTCGGATTCTTTCGGATGATTCCGATATTTAACGTTAACGCTATGTGCTGTCAACTAGATCTAGACCAGAAATAGCCAGTTGGTAGTTCAGATTGCTTACACGTTTTGCGTTGGCATCGTCTAACTACCTCGCACAACGTGAGCGGCTTATGAAACAGGCTGAGGTTTTCTTGAGGATATTTAAGGTCAAATCTTACCCCGGAAATGCACTGGACGTTCTAATAGTATAGATCTACCATGACCAGAGTCATTTACAGTGCTGACCACTGACGGAAGGTAATTATAATTCATTTTTATTTGATTTCGAATGAGTATCTTGAAATCCAGACTATCGCATAGTACATGATTGTAAACAAGCCGTCATAAACAACATGTCATCGAACAGATTTTAGAATATAATTGTTATTTTGTTTTTAAATAAATGGACTGACTCATCATTTCATGACAAGACTTAATATGCGTGACGAACAAGTCCTTCAAACACTTGACTGCTATACAGTAACCTACGGTTATAACGATCTCAAAGGGACTACTAATTTTAGTTCGTTATAACCGTAGTTCGTTATAAGCATATATACAGCATAACTACAGCAAATAGTCGGGACCAAAAAGGTAAGTTCGTTATATCCGTCAGTTTGTTATAAGCGTGTTCGTTATTATGTTATTAGCGTCGTTTACTGTATCTGTAACCAAAGAAAAACTAACCCACTGACGTTTCATATTCTAGATCGAAGTAGCAATAAACGATCGCCCTAATTACATAGAGACAGTGTTTCAATTCCACCCACTAACTGAAATTTTAGATTCACGTTCAGATCACTAACCACACAGTGCTGTCGGTGGAGCCTAGACAAGTGACACCTGCCGCTGTCATCACATGGCACACTGTAGCAGGGCAGTGCGTTACTATTTCTGCTCTAAGATAGGGTTGTTTATCATCATGTACAAACCCATATATATGCATGTATGTGTCAATTTCTGGTTCAACTGGAATTTAGGATCATGCTTTTAATTATCACAAAATATGGAGCACCTTTAGAATGCTTCATATCCATAACTTGTGAGGACGATCTTTGCTGTAGATCACATGTCACATCACGGAGACATTAATATTAAATATGAATGAACTTGTCATTGTTGGATCAGCAGTGTTCCCCACAACATTTGGAAGGTGAAATACGGATCAGAGTTGATTTTGTAACTAAGTACACAAACTCATGTTGTAAAGATATCTCAGGCATTTAATCCTTCTCTGAACACTCACTAGCTATGTAGGACAGTGAGTGGGTTGGGTTTAGCCCTGGCCTAAACAGTATATCAGCATTCTCAGTATAATTACATATCACAGCATGTCTAGTAAGTTTGATTGTAGTTTAACGCAGCACTAAGCAATATTCCAGCTATATGACGGTGGTCTGTAAATGATTGAGACTGCAGGACCTGACAATCCAGTGATTGACATCATGAGCATTGATCTATATGATGACATGCATCAACCAAGTCAGCGAGTCTGACCATTACAGGGTTAGAAACTAACAGTTTTTGTCCACTAGTCCTCATAATGATAACATATAGCAAAACCCTTAAAATTGGCCAATTTCTACTAGTCCTTAGGATACCTTTACCATTGGGCAGTTTGGAAGGACTACAGGACTAGTGCCAATTTCTAACGCTGCCATTAGTCGCCTCTTACGACAAGCTGTGGTGAAGCCCAGGTTGTTGAAGACCAATTCTAACCCGCATCTTCACCTTGTTCACGGGTCTGATCTAGTTAGTAGTAAGATAAGCATTAAGGCTAATGAACCTAATTAATAATCCTTATGTTCGTATCAAATTCTATTGAAAAGATTCTCCAGCACAATTTCTGGCAAGTTGCTGCTAGTTGACACAAAGGTTTTGACTGTTGATTCTATTCTAATCATGGTTGAAAGATACTATGCTAACATGGCTAATGCCATGCACACACATCATGCACATCAAACAAACAGCTTGTTTGTCATAGCTGTATCACTTTTTTAATTACATTTTGTCCTTTAAGCAGGGGGCACGGGTGGCCCAGTCGTCTAAGGCGCTGCGATTCACTGTGAAGAGTTGCGTCCCTTGGACACGCCAGAAACCTATGATTGTGGGTTCGAATCCCAGTTCGCCCCAATTATGTTTCTAGGTTTGTCAGCACCATACCCGTGCTCGTTGGTTTCACCGAAGTGGTAAACGTCTGTGACCTGCATCACTTCAGGCTTTTCTTCCACATTCAGCTGACACGACATGATATAACTGGAATACTGTTAAAAGCGGCGTTAAACCCAACTCACTCACTCACTATCCTTTCAGCCGTAATCATATTAATCATGTTCAAAGGGCATTTAGAGGTGGTTGAGTTGCCTAGTGGTTAATGTGATAAGATAAGGTATTTATTTATTACCCCGAAGGAAATCAGCACAAGGTCACAGCTAATTGATAAACACAAATACAAACAAATAACAACATTACAAACATTATTAACATTAAATGTGGCACTAGCGAATAGATACTCAACAATTGCTTATCACAAAACTTGTTATATAACGTGGTGCTAGTTGGTCATGTTGGTATGCATTTGCCCATCATCCTGAAACTTGAGCTTGATTGCCTACATGGATACAATGTGTGAAGCCCATTTCTGGTGTCCCCCGTCATGATGTTTTGATGGAATATTTCTAGCTCTAAGCATGCTAAGACGGTCATAACCTCCATCAGGATATTATTCTGGAATATTGCTAAGCGCATTCTAAAACTATTGTCACTCACTGCCTAAAGGCATTCAAGATTAGGAACTTATCTGTGTCCTGTTCCACAAAGTGATCTTAGTACTAAGATGTCCATAACACCCATTATGATGATTATTCCGGAATATTGTTTAAAGAAGTCTGAAACTATATAGTCACTCACTGCCCCAAATCATTCGATAAGGAACTTATCTGGGTCCTGTTCCACGAAGTGATCTTAGTACTAAGACGATGCTAACACCTATGCTTTAACAAGGGATTTTGATAGTTGTAGCACTCAAATCGCTATGTGAAACAGGGACTTGAATATTATGTTGTCATCACCGTTATCATCATTTATATGCTATGTTTTTTATTCATTTCAGCAAAACTCTGACAAACCATCACCATGGCACAGATCTGCTGCATACACAACAATGTGAATGTGTGTGTCTATATCTTAGTAATTCTGTTTGGAATAGCATCATGGATCGACATAAATGGCCTTTGGGTGGAGCTGCCGATTCTTGTCCAGAAATTGCCAGAAGGATGGGATCTTCCTTCATATATGGTCATCATAATTCAGCTGGCTAATATAGGACCGCTCTTCTACACCTTGTCTAAGTTAAGATGGCCACGCAGACTGAACGAAGTCCCAATAATTTATTTAATAATCGGTATAGGAGGGACTTCATGCTTACTGTTGGCTTTCTTCTGGAACACGACATCATACATCGCAGGGGCCAACCACAGTACTGCTCTCCTCATCCTCAACTTCTTCCTAGCTTTTGTGGACTGTACATCATCTGTTGTCTTCCTCCCATACATGGCTCACTTCAAGCCAGAATACATCACTGCTTTCTTCATCGGAGAAGGATTCAGCGGCCTCCTGCCTGGCCTCGTAGCACTAGGACAAGGAGCCGGCCAAACAACCTGCGTGAATCAAACAGTGCACAATAATGTCACCGTCAATGGAACATCCATTAACGAAACTTCGTATGTCATCTTTCCTCAATATCAAACTCCAAAATTCTCGATTGAAGTATTTTTCTTCCTTCTCTTTGGAATGTTGGTGACTTGCGGCGCTGCCTTTACCATATTGCATTACTGTGAGTTTGCAAGGCTGGAGCAGCTCAAGACGAGGGATGAAGTTGATGAATCGACTGACGTCACAGCTCAGACAGACCTCATGTCCAGCTATGAACTCAGTGGGCCTACAGCTAATCCTGCAAGTGACAACTTCCTTGACGCAGCTGATAACATTCATTCCAGGACCCACTTAATAACTGGGAAGAAACGGCCAGAAATCTCAATCCAGAAAGACATCTCTTTGGAGACGACTCGGCGCCAAACATGCATGACAAGGACCAACTTTTTCTTCTTCCTATTTCTCACAGCGTGGATCAACGGACTTGGTAATGGGGTGTTGCCGTCTATACAGTCGTACTCAGCCTTACCATTTGGCAACACTATATACCACCTGACAGTGACACTAGGGAGCATTGCTAACCCTCTGTCCTGCCTCGTGGCCTTCTTCCTGCCCGTGTCATCCACCATTGCCATCACGATACTGACACTCCTTGGGACCGGCTTTGCTGCGTACTGCATTGGTCTTGCTGCAATGAGCCCCGACCCGCTGCTTGTTGGAGAGCTGTTTGGAAATATTCTTGTAGTGAGTACATTTTGGTTTTTCATATATCTTTTTGTCACATAAACCAAATTACCTATGGCCCAGTTTGATTAACTCCCCTTGCCATTTTCATTATTAGTGTCTTAAATGAATGATTTTTGAAAGTGGCCCGTTTTAGAAGGGGTGTCACAATTAATCAAAATATTGATATATTACTATTGGTAAGCACTTAAAATCAATAAATCGATTGTTAAATCAGTTTCCGTTCAATAGTATCGATTTCAGTTAGGAATATCGATAGTTTAGATTGTATTTACCATATCATGCGATTTGCTGTGCAGAGTTGCGACCCTTGGGCATGCCAGAAACGTATGATTGTGGGTTCAAATCCTGGTTCGCCCCGATTATGTTTCTAGGTTTGTCAGCACCATACCAGCGGTCGTGGGTTTCACCAAAGTGGTAAACATCTAAGACCTGCATCACTTCGGGCTTTCCTCCCACATTAAGCTGACACGCTGTGATATAACTGGAATACTGTTAAAAGCAGCGTTAAATCCAACTCACTCACTCGATGCTGTGTGGGCAAGTAAGGGTTAGTCCGACTCAGATTTAAGTTTATGACATGCACTTGGTGCATGTGGACGTAGTATTAGGTTGCATTTCTCAATCAAAGGTTGGACTTGTGCATGTTTTATATAGTTAAATTGAGCCCTTGTATTCCGCTACTAGCAGTGTTCGAAATACCTGCCTGCCCAACCGTCCGAGACGGGTTGATTTCAACTCGGGCTGCCAGATTTTCAAATCCCCCTGCCCGACGGTCGGGTTATATTTCATATGTGAAAATATTCAAAATATTTCCCGATGATCAGCATTAATTCACATGTAAAGATGAATGATAAAATGTAACCAAAAAGAAACCCCGTTAGCTTATCCTGAGAAACGTATGATTATAGTGGGCAGGCAGGTTTTGGTCAGGGCTGGCAAGTATTTCAGCTAGCCAGTCCTGTGGTCTGGATGAAATTTTTTGGAGTTTCATACCCTGCTACTAGCACAACCAAAGGCATTAATCATGTCAACAAATGGTTAATAAGTTCACTAGCCATGCCAACCGGAACTTGTCTATTGGCATAATTTTCAGTAGATTGTCGTGGTAACCATGGTAACTGAGTTAGTTAAGCATAATTAATAGTTGCTGTAATCAGGCTTTGGACAAATGGCTACCGTCACAGATGGTTACTTTAATATGTTGTGGCGAGTTGAGCATGCTAATTGCACTCATGAGAGCTGACAGTTCACATGTGGTGATTGAATGTTCACAAGCTATGAGGAGGCTGTGTAATTGTTTCATATCCCAACCTTAACGTCATCAAATCATGTGTCAGTCCATAAATGTCATCACTTGATAATTAATCGTCTATGACTCTCTTAAGGTAGCGAAATGTCCCGTTATCTCATTATTGACTAGCATGAATGGTTAAACAAGATGGCTGTCCCTGTCACCACAAAATAATGTCCACCTATGCCAAAGTGACTACAACTAAGACACACCTAGCGTTTTCAAGACAAATTCCCAAACACCTGTGTGATCTGACCATGCTAAATACAGCATACAGCACATGATGTAGAACAACAGTGTAACTGTTCTTTGACATCTTTGCAATTATTAATGTCTGTTTTGGAGTACATGGTGTCTCATTAACATAATATGTTAGATGCTGAGTTTCAGATGACCAAAGGTCACGAGTCATAGACTGTTAAAATTCAATTTGGCCGATGGTTTGTTTAAGTAGTCTGACTTTTGACCAATAGAAATGCTAAGCAAGGCGTCAAACGTTTCATAATTTCATAATTAAGAATAAGTAATAAAAATTAGTCCTGCTTACTGTATCAATTACAGTATTTTACATCAAACAAATGCACAGCCATCAAAATTTCAATCTTTTTAAAATCAGACCTTAGTTCTCGCTACCGCTAAACAAAGATCTGAAGACATCCCATTAGGGGTCACGTCAGAACGACCTTTCATCAACCAATGAGAGCGTCGCTTACAAGATCATTAAAGTGACAGTCGAAATGTGAATTCTAATCATACAACCTCGAAAACTTTAACACGGGGTATTCCAAACGATAGTTACAGGTTTAACGACTGAATCAATACAATCTAGACCATCTATTAGCCATTCCAGAGTGTTCTTTTGTTTAGGTTTCAAATTTGTAATCGAGAATTTTTCAAAATATGTTTCAAAGCGCAGTCGCCAATTTTAATTTAGTGCGTAAAGCACGAGGAAGCTGCCTTCTGATTGGTCATTCTAATGGTCGGTCAAAGTTCGCGCAAGGTCAGTCTGACGTGACCCATAATGGGATGTCCTCAGATCTTTGTGTAGCGGTAGCGAGAACTAAGGTCTGATTTTAATGAGATTGTCAAAATTTGTAATTGAAATTCTTGGCAGCACAAGTCTTTACATCATACTTTCTGTATCAAAGGGCAACACTGACTTGACTAAGTCAAGTGCTTTTCTTATCGCATAGCCAGATGGTATATATTTATCCAATCACAAATGGTATCGCATTGATTTGTTGTTAATGTTATGGTTCAACTACCATTTTTTTTATTTGTCTTACTGACTTTTGCCCCTGACCCTGTTATGGTTGATATAACATTTCTCTATCATTTTACATAATGACCTGATGACCTCTAGTTGCATCAGTTTTACTTTACAAAATGCACGTTCAGAACAGCCAGTGAATTCCTGGCTCAGAATCAACTACATCAACAATAGCTTGGGACATCATTGTGTTCAAATGACAGTGATTCACGAATTGATAACATGAGCTCCATGACTTCCTGTCCAGTTCTTTTTCTGTTTCTTTGTCTGCAATGATGTGTTTTTTGTTTCTAGGTTGCAGCCTGGTTTTTTGTGACTTTCTTGTTGACCTTCACCAAGGTGAGCATTGCGTCACTGCTGCGTGTTGAGGGGAAGCGTGCGCTGTTGTGGTGTGGGGCCATGACACAGGTCGGGTCAGCAGTTGGAGCACTAGCTATGTTCCTTCTTGTCAACGTGTTCAAAATGTTCAAACAAGGCTCGCCGTGTCGCTAGCCATGGACGTGTCATTGTGACATATCACTGTAGCACCAAATTCATCATATCGTCTAGAGGCTGTTTTCTCAGGGACCATCCATTTTATTTTTTGAGGAATGGGACTGAATTTTCTTTGATTTTATTTTGTAGGTGTGGCATACAATTTTTTATGCATATATTAAAATCAATTCCATCAATTAGAATGTTTTATTTTTCTTTCAATTTGTTTTGTATTTGTTACACATTCCGCAGAGTTCACTTATTTTTTTCAGAACAATGCCAGTAGCAACCACCATGACAATGATTTCTATTTTGTCAGAACTAACAATTAGCATTACAAGTAATTATTTACAACAAAAATAACACATTTCCACTCGTTCAAAGGCCTGCAAAGGTTGGGCATATTGTTTCAAGATCGTGTGTGACATTCTCCATGTCTCAGCCTCATTCATCAAGATAAAATGGTTGGTCCCTGGGACTATGTTAAAATGAAAATTGTCATATGTTGTCAATTTTTCAACATGTTTAGCATTAGTGTATTTTGTTTTGTTGAGTGCTTGTTATACTGGATGTAGCGGTGAAGACGCTGAGCTTTGTTTACCATGTTTACTGTGTTTTCAAGCTTTTCCAAGCTGATGTCTCTATTGCAGTAGACACTACGGTCTAATATTTTTTGGTTTGTATACAAAGCCGACCGACATAATAATGAAAAACTTTTTAACAATGGCATTTGACAATTTGTTTGGAAGCCACAATTAGGTCCCAGGAATCTGTAGATATCATTATTATCTGTTTGGAGGGTGAAGCCATTGCCATTTATAAATTGATGGCTCCTGACACTATTTCAGAGTTGGCAATTGAAATCAAGATTGACAGACTGGTTCTTGTCAACATTTGCTGCCAATATTTGTCGGTGTATACAATGTTGACAGAATCTCCTGAAATTTGTCTCAATCATCTTCAACCAACACTACCAACATTAAACTCAATGTTCTTCCAAGTACAAACGACTGCCTTTGTGGTCTAGTGGATAGAGCGTTTGCCTGGAGAGCGGTAGTCCGTGGTTCGATTCCCTGCCCATATTTCATACCAAACCACGTTAAAAGATAGTACTTGTTGTTACCCTTCCTGGCGCTCAGCATTAAGGGAATAAAACAAGGAATGAGTCAGTATACTGTGTCTGAGTGGGGTATTCATGTTAAACTGTGGCATGGTATCTCAGTGGGCTAGCACTATAAAACCAGCATTGGTCCGGAGTACAAGCAGCCACACACACGGACACATGTGCATGCAAATTGATTTATAAGTGCAATAATCTTGAGATTAAACCCAATTTTTCCTCACTTCCAAGTAAACACCTTGTTTATTCTTATTCAATAATAGTACCGTATTTGACATAATAAGCGCCCCGCTCTAATATGCTCCAACGACGGTATTTGCTAAAATATTGGCTAGTGAACAATCCAATTAGCACCACTTCCAATTGATAAATGTTCACAAGACTTTTTTATTTGCGTACAATACGCACTTGGGTGTTATATGCACCCTTAATTATGGGCAATCAAATTCTCGAAAAATATATCTGTCGTACATAAGCATTTCAGGCTGTCAGCATAAACCATGAAATTTTATCTTTCAACTCTGTTTTTTTTACCAAAATAATATTCTTATAAGAGCTTCCTATTTCTAATTTTGAGAGCGCCCTGGGCGCTTATTACGTCAAATATGGTAGGTGTATTTCTACCAAGAAGTAGAGATTTCGGGCAGAAGATGTGTAAGCCTTGTATAACAGGGTCTAAGCGAAGGGTCTAATTGGCTTGTGTTATTAGTCACCCATTGGGTGTGATATAGCCATGACACTGTATTCCATGTTGTGCTAACATTTACCATGTCAACACATGTACTGGTGAGTCACCTCTAGTCTCAGGGTCTACAGGGTACAGAGCAGCGACATGGACTTTGTTATTTGAGATTATTAAGCTTATTAACTAAAAGTGGATCCAGCATTTTTAGAAGGGAGGGGTCCAAAATATCAAAATCCTCTCTCTAATAATTTTACTGGCGACAACATACTACATTAGTTTTCAAGCGTGTGTGCGTGCGTGCGTGCGTGCAGGCGGGCGGGCGGGCGGGCGGGCGCTTGGTCTGGGAGCGCAGGTGGGCGGGCGGGGGTGGGGGTTAGAAGGGTCGGATTCCCAGGACCCCCCCTCTGAGTAGTTCCACCTATGTCAACTAAGAAATTAAGAAATGTGCCCAATGAGATTTCTCTTCAATCTGAAGAATATTAGACATCTTTTACCCCTCTGACTTACAAAATGGAGTAGTAGAGTAGTTTCTCAAGGGAATAGCAAAGTGATGTATGTCATAAATGTAACCATCATTTTACTTCCAATATTTTATTATTTTCTTTGAAAAATTAGACATTCTGAAATCATTTTACCAGGGCCCTGTTCCACAAATCAATCTTAGTGCTACGATTGTCATAAGTCTTAGTTAATGGGAATTAGCATTGTCTTAGCCCTAAGACTGCTTTGTGGAGTGGAGCCCTGGTTTAGCCCACATGGTGTCCATGCTATTTTTCTCTAAGAAAACAAAGGGAGGCTGTCAGACCACTTTTCAGTAGTTAGTGACTCAGACTTAGAACATGACTCTATTTTGTCAGCCTTTTATGTATTATATAATTATGATCACCAAAAAACAAATGCTATATTTAGGATATCTCTTTCTTAGTAAAGTACAGATTCTAGTACTTTTGATGGTTTAGTCCCATCCAGGATTCAAACCCACACTTCCAGAATGAGGTACCTAATCACCAGTACACAAAGTCAGCGATTAGGTGCCTCACTCTGGCAGTGTGGGTTCGAATCCCAGATGGGACTCAACCGCCCACCCCAAAACTACTAGAATCTGTACTTTACTAAGAAAGTGTTATCAGATATAACATTTGTTACATTTGACCACTTTCTAAATGGCATTGTGTGCTCATCACCAAAAGGCATAGTGTGTTTAAGATTGCAAGTAAAGTGCACTGTGTGAACGTTTACAGGTGAAGCTGTTTCAGGTCTGATTGGGTAGTAATGTAAAGAGGAGTGTATGTCAATACACAGTTTTCCAAGTCATGCAGTGTCATCATGATCAGACAGAAGGAGATTCGTGGATGCATTTCTGATCAAATGCACAATATCATTGCTGTTTTACAAGTTGACATACATTGCTGTACCTAATCATGCTAGCTATTGCTATTATTTGCTTCAAGTTTAACAATCAATAATCATGCATGCATAGTGGTCTTCAGTACAAGCTTTGTGGGTTATTATTCAAACGATATTCACAGGATATACTGTGGCAAACAGGGCAGACTTTACATGTTTAAGTTATTTATTTTTGGGAATTTTCTTTATTGGTATTCCACCAAAAGGCAAGGGAGTTAACTGAATGTAGAAGTCCTGTTTCCACTCTTGTCAAACTAGGATGGAATTTCTGGCCTCGATTGAAGCGCCACCAGTGGCTATTGCAAGTTATGACCCTTCTGTGTCTTACCTTTTGACCTATTAGATTCTAAATCTGATAACACTTGCAATGGCTTCAAACAAAATGGCGGCTCCCTGTCAAGACAATCTGATCGATAATCAAGATCTACCATGTAATAAAATCTTTATAAAGAACATAAAAAGATTTGAAAAATATCTGTTGACATCCAATTGGCGATACACATACTCTGGCATTCGTGACCAAATCGTGTTATTCCGGGACAAGCCGAATAGCGACTCGTGCCCCTCTCGTGGGCATTTTTGCGACCGGGTTCCGTCTTAGCGCAAACAGGCATACCTAAAACAATTGTCAACTCGTTGCGCAATGGTTCACACATTTCCCCCATATATTATATGTATTTCATATGCAATTTAAAGCACATCGGGACGTGCGGAATTATACAGTATGATTGAACACATTTAACTATGTCTTTGGTATATTTTTAGATGCAAGACATATGTAAAATCAAAAATTATTTCTGAGGGATTCTTTGACGAAGAACTTGAAATCATACGCGCATTCTGATTGGTTTGTCGTATTTTCGCACATACCATTCATCGATAGGGGGACGAGTCTTCTTGCAGTTTACGGAAAGGGGCGAGTGGTGACGAATGATACTCTGCAAATCCTTCAGTCGACCGAAATCTGCACAACAGTTGCCATGTTGCATATAAACCGGATGTCGATTTTGTTACATGTTTTTTATAGGACTATGCACTCACTCGTCTAGCCAAAATAAAGCTCCATTATTCCAGCCTAGTTCTGCAAGGGTGGAAATTGGACTTTTATAGTCAGTTAACTCCCTTGCCATGCCAAAAGGCCAAAGGCAATAAAATAAGTCTCATGTTTTGTTTAAGTCTAATTTCCTGAGAATAAGTGTAGAAACAAGTTTCATCATGAACACAAAGTTATTTTCATATACATTTGACAAATCATATAAATTTAAAAAACAAAACCAAAAAAACACTTTAGTTATGGTGTTTAGAGTTGAAAATCAACTGAAATCATGCATCCTCCATTTATCAACAACCATGACGGATGGGTGATGGTGCAAGGATGGCAAACTATTAAATGATATCACAGTCATGGAACAATTGTAGTGATTCATCTGTGTCATGACAATCTTATATACAAGTAGACCTTGACCTTGCTGATATTGTGATAGTATTGCCACTTACTGTGACAACTGGTCATTGGTTCAGCGCCCCCTACATCAAGAAATGACAGTCAGTCCAGTGTGTCTGGTGTCAGATCGATCCTCCTAATGTCAGTATGAAATTTCATAATTTCAAAATTCAAAATTTGTATTGACTGTGCAGTCACTTGTCCTCATTATATGATAATTAAGTGTATGGTTGAGTCTTGTTCACCCTTTACTCACAATCGACAAAATGGCTAAAATATATGAATGTTGATGGAGCTGTCTCCCTTTGGTCATGTTATTTAGATCCACAAGTTTAATTACTTGAATAAGAATGAGGGCCCAGATGTTATATATTTATGGTTCATTTAATTAATGACAGAACAGGTGAAGCCTTCACAATCGCCTCTCTATAATAACATTTGGTCAGTGATGTTAATATTTGGACCCTTAGTATGGATTACTTATATTCCCAGCTGTCACCGACACTCATGCACCAGTGCCTTGATGAACACGTGTGCATGTGTCAGTATGGAATATACCGTATTTAGCGTAATAAGCGCCCGGCTCTAATAAACGCCCACGGCGATATTTGCTAATATATTGGCAAGTGAACAATCCCTATTAGCACTCCTTCCGATTGATTAATGTACACAAGATTTATTTATTTGCGTATAATACTCACTCGTGTGTTATGTGCACACTTAATTATGGGAAATTAAATTCTGGAAAAATATATCTGTCGTACATAAACATTTCAGGCTGTCAGCATAAACCACGAAATTGATCTTTCAACTCTGTTTTTTTTTCACCAAAATAATATTCTAATTTTAAGAGCACCTTTGGCGCTTATTACGTCGAATACGGTACTTTAGTACTCCTAGGGTTAGAAATAACCGAGTTCATAAAAATTGTATGTGCACTAGTGATGACATCACTTCAGGCCCACCAGTGTATTTTCTACATCATCCGGACAGCATTCTTGCCATCGTTTGAATCTTATTGTGTCGGAATGATGTCACACTAGAAACGACGTCATAGCTGAAGATTGATGACGTCATTCGACAATTGTGTTTTTTCTAAGACGGGGGTCATGATCTATGTATTTTTCTAAAGGGGAGCTCAAAAGGATTAAGAAATAATGGGCAATAAAGAAATTATTACGCTTGTGTATCATACTGATTTTTACGAAACTAGTGTAAGAATTCATGTATTACTCTCGCTTGTGAAATATAATGAATCTGACACTCGCTTCGTAAAATCATTATAACACACATGCTCGTTTAGTAATCTCTTTGTATCATATATATGTCACAGATGGGAAGCTTTGTAATATAGATATGATCAATGATGAATAGAGATACCGGTACACAAGCTTGAAGGGTCTGGTCATTTAGGAAGGGAGGATGGCCATGACAATATGTAACATGAAATAGGCAGGGTGGCAAAATATAATACAATCCTAAGACTAATCCATAATGTACTATTAAGG